AATTGTGGTCCATGAACTGTTCAACCGTTCAACTAGGAGTTCATACCGTGAATTTTGACTGGCTGGCATTTAGGTTCCACCAACATGAACATGGCGTCCGGAGTGGCGAGGTCTGTGATAGAGGGGCGGGGGCAACCTTTAAAAGGTGTTTTCAGCCAGGTTCCTTGTCTCGTTTGGGAAAGGCAGAAACAACTAGTAGCTTCCAAACAGGGAAACACCACCAAAATACGGACTTGCATGGGCCTGTGACCAAGGGCGTACTTTCAAGATGTCCTTCAATGTTTCCACCCGATTAAGACCCCCCCATTTTCCAGACTGTGCCTTTCATGGCCAACTTTCCGCGATTACCAATCTAGAGGCACCCGGAAAGGTTGTCAAAATGACCCCTTAATCCCAAATACCCCAGTTTTGGTTACGAAGGCTATTACCAATACTACTTCCTTTCATAGTTCCAAAAGCTGTCCTGCCAAATCTCGACCAAATGAGCCAGCCAGAAAGAGCAAAATATATTATACTACAGTTTGCTGAACGAAGCAAGTTTTGGCAAGCCCCTAGCAAGTGTTGACACAAGCGTAGCCCTTCAGTCCCTACGAATTGAAAAGGCCACTCCAAAGATCGTTTCCACCTGAAGGGAGGCAATCTGAACCTTTTTGGTCCCAAAGCGAGTCGATCGGTCTGGGCAATTCGCAGGAGAGATCCTCCGACAGCCTCAAGCTCATTATGTCCTGGATCAAGGGAGAGGCGATGCGCCGAGCCCGGAGTCGGATCGGATTTGGAGCCGAGAACGGGCACGTGAAGCCATGGTCTTGTTCAGAGTACTGCCGAAGAACCCTGTGTTTTTGTTCGTTTCCTGGATCCTTGGAATGATTGGGCAAGTTAACCCGACAAGAACACAGATGCACTGGAATTGAGCCTTAGCAGGATACCAATTCTATTAAGCTATGCCTTCCAGTCAAGTCACATAAAACGTATTTTTCACCGCAGGGTGCTGCGCCTCTTCTGTGTAATCAGTACGCGTAGCTGGGATTGTTTACACAGGCATGTCGCGTCCCGAAGCATTGCACCTTTGTGTATTTGCTGCTCACTTGGCTGTGGTTGCCCAGTTTTCAACTCTCTAGCTCACGCATGGCCAGGAAAGCACGTAAGGTTTGAGTTTGAGCAAGCAATTCAGTAGCCTATGATGGTCAATCACGCAGGGTCTCATTGGGACTGACTCACTAACCAAAGCACGGGGGGGGGGGGGGGCGCGTTGCGGCAGGCCGTAGATTTCAAACGGCCGCGATTGTCAAGTGCAGTGCAAAAGCAGCGCACAATGAGTGTACACCGTTCAACTCAATATTGACGCTGCAGGTCCTTACAAGATCCTTTCAATGCACAGCTGTGTGGGCCACAAGCCTGGATGTTGTGGCATGCGACCTGGATTGGTACATGTGCATGCTGGCTGACTTGTCGCAGCCATGACAAAGGCTGGAGCTTCGACAAAGCATGAAAACCTGGAAGGACAGTTCTTGGAAGCGTAGAAGCACTGTGGGCGTGCACAGCCGATAGTAGAAAACCGGAAACATGTGGATGAGCCCCTTTCAAGAACCCGGACGCTTTGGTAGGTTCCATGTTAGTGGACGCCGGGGGGGGGAAATATTTTTTCTTCTTTTTGGTGGATTCCCAAAATACGTGGCCAACCCCCAACCCACAGAAGGGTTCTGATTGATTCTTTTTTCTACCAGGGTCGCTGAATCAGGTGGCAGTTAGACAGCAACAGATGGGATGATGTGAATGGGACCGCATGGCTGGATTTGAGCTAGAACTTCTTTCGCAACATGGTCTTCCACATATCGCTTATGCCCATTACCCAAAATGGATTTGGGAGCGGGGTGACATCTGTAGAGTTCCAATTTCCTTTTTGAGTGGACTGGGAAGATGGGAATCAGGGGACCTGGAACCCCTCGAAGGTGCCTCTTTTTTTGGGGGGGAAGGGGGGGCGGAAGGGCGCGCATGGGGGGGCAGATGGTCCAGGTGGCAACATAGGCGAGGCCGCGCAACTCCTTACTCCCTATGGCAGATAGTTGTGATTTCCCTTGTAAGTGTCCATGTTGAACCACTGGATCCTACGTTTCCCTCACCCTCAAAATGGCTGGTCTGGAAGTGCCGGATTTCAGCCCGACCTTCCGGGTGAGTTCTTCAGCTCCAAGCGCAGGTCTCGCGCCAGCGCCTGCCGAAGGGCTAATGCGGAAGCTTTCGACTCGAAAGGCACAGAACCGACTCAAAGCGAAGCCTCTTTGAAGGCGGCTCCAAGCTGCAAGATGCTGCAAGAGTGTCGGGATTGGTAATTTCGTCCCCTAACAACTACCCCCCACAAATAGGAAATCTTCGTTGGGGCCCAAATGATAATTGTTCATAGGGTGGCTATGGGTCGACCTGATATCCTTTCGGTCCTCGTCCAAATGGGCTCCCCGCTTTTCCGGACACGCAAACAGTCAGAATCGCAGTTGTCCGAGTAACCAATTTAAATACAACCCTTCAAGAGTTTGTGTTTTCTTCGTTTTTGCGGTTCAAGCGTAAGGCCCAGTATGATGGCGCAAATTGATTTTGGAATTACAATCAACGAAACCAATTCAAATTAGTTTAAAAGGCAAATGTGTTTTTAACTTTTAAACAAATGTGCGAATACCCCCATTAAGACTGGTTTCGGGATTGGCGCGATTTCGGCAGGTTTAGTGTTGGTTTAGAATTGGCGTATTCTAAAAGTGGTATTGGGGATCCGGGGTCTTGAAAAAGCTATATTTATTAATAGGATGCATATATTAACCCCAAGAATCAAAGGCCCTTCCATTAGAAGGGACCTGAAAAGAGGTTTGGTGCCTTTGATTCGTTGGGCTGCAACCTAGCATGTCTGATGGCCGATTCTGCAGAAGGCACACAGAGGCGATCTGGGAATTGGGAGCCATCAGCTGACAAGTTCCGAATCCAAGAGGCAGCGAAGCAGTGCAAATCGCATGTGGTATCATGTGATATCTAGAGTCGAGTGATAAACGCTTGCCTCTCCATCCCCAACTTGTTTGTTACATCTACTTGCATACCGTGCGGTTAAAAAGCACCGGCTGCATTCTCACAAGTCGGCTGAGCGCTTTGTGGGAGATCGAAGAATTGCAACAGCTGCCGGCTGGTGTCGAAGACACCCGCCAGCAGCCGTACCTCTCTGCCGGACGATGTGTTTGAAGGAAGATCCAAGCGGTACTCACTGCTTGTTCTTTTGCGTGGTCCAGTTGGATCCTCATGAAATGACCAACCACAACGGCGTGCCTTGTGAATGTGCCCATGGGTGGACAAGGTTATTCTCCCACACCTGGTGTATAAGTTAAGAGGCCTGGGGCATGAGAGGGCAGAATTACACAGCGGCTCCACAGGGGAGCCGATGGTGTGAGGCTTCCTAGCTGATTGTTTGCTTGCTTTGCGTTGCCTGGCTTGCTTTGCTTTGCTTGCTTTGCGGTGCTTTGCTTGCCTTGCCTTGCTTGGAATGCTTTGCTTGCTTTGCTTTTCTTGGCTTGCTTTGCGCTGCTTTGCTTGCTTCGCGCTGCCTTGCTAGCTTTGCCTTGCTTGCTTTGCTTGCTTTGCGCTGCCTTGCTTGCCTTGCCTTGCTTGCTTTGCCTTGCTTGCTTTGCTTTGCTTGCTTTGCTTTGCTTGCTTTGCTTTGCTTGCTTTGCTTTGCTTGCTTTGCGTTGCCTTGCTTGCCTTGCCTTGCTTGTATTGCGTTGCTTTGCTTGCCTTGCCTTGCCTTGCCTTGCTTTGCCTCACTTGCTTTGCTTGCCTTGCTTTCTTGCCTCCAGGCTTGCTTGATTGGTTGTTGTTTGTTGTATGAATGTGTTTTTGTTGTTTGCTTGATTGCTCGATTGCGGCGGCAAACACGACCGTTTGTGCGACATTGAACCAGAATGGGCTCTGGGGATTCCAAACTGGGAGGTCCTTCGCTGCTGATGTCATGAAGACTATGAACTAAGACGATTGTAATCACACATGCCACAGACACACACACACACACACAGACACACACACACACACACACACACACACACAAAAACACACACACACACACACGTACACACACGTACAAGCACATTGCTCACAGTTTGCATGTAGCCAGTGTTCATGCATGCTTATGTTGCCTGATGCCGTCAAACTGTTTCCCATGAACAAATCAAAATTGTTGCATCACAGGTTGTCCGTCGTTTCCAATGGCTGTTGTTTTGCTGCTGGTTTAGCGCTTCGGCTTGTTGAGGGTTAGTTGAGGGTGGATATAGATCGGCTTTAGTTTGGGTTTAGTGCTGGTTTAGGTTTTGGCCTTAGGGTGGTGTAGGGGGTTTGGGCTGGAAAAAGGGGTTTGGTTACGTCTTGTTTAGGGTTGGTTTAAGGTAGGCTTATTAGGTCTGGTTTGTTATTGCTGGTACTTCTTTTTGTGCCTTGGTCACAAGGATTTCTGCTCAACTCAGATCAATCAGTCGCCTTCTTGCGCAAGTCTTGAGTGGAGACATCATTCGGACCTACTGTCAGTCAGGCCAAAGTGCCGCCCCACCACAGCGATGCGAATCTGCGGCGCTGGGTTTCTCTGAAAATTGAGGATTTGTCTGAACATCCAGGATATGACTGGGTCGCTCAATTTGAATTGTTAGGGTTCAAAGTTTCCCTTGAAATCAGACCATTGCAGGATCAATTTGTGGCTGAGTTTCGCTACGTAAGCGCAATGTGAGTTATTTCTTACAAGAGTGAAGCGCACATTCCTACAAATATTGTTGATTCACTCGGATACATATGAGGGGCTTGGGCAAAGAAAGAACAAATATGCCGGGGTGTTCGGCAGCTGCATGATTTGCATCCTGAAAGCAGCATTTCGCTTCAACGTCAGCAGATGTGCAGGACCCACAAAGCATGCATGAAGTACGGTTCTTCTTTTTTGGCTCATGTCGACACTGCAGCCAAGACATGCACGTAGTGATGCGAGCAAATCATTGCTTTCGTAGGCGCAGCCCTTGTTCCGGAAAGCCATGTGCGTGACTCAATGAGACACTGCTGCGGCCGATGAAGCTGGGCCTGGCCCTGCCCTATGGGGGCGTTGCAATGCCTTTCCACCGCGGATTCTGCAAAGCTGTTGTATCAGATCGGCGCCCGCTGAGTACACTTGCATCTGTTCTTCTGGCAAGACTTGGCTACAACCAGGTATTCAAGCGAGGATTGTGCCTTTCGAGACGATCCCACAGTGACAAGATTGTCCATATTACAGACAGAGCAGATCCGCGCATCGCACTGTACTTGCGAAGGGACCAACGCGACTGTAGCGTGTACGATAGACAGGTGAGAGCACTGGCAGAAGCAGCATTGAAATCACAGGGCACCTCGGCTCTCGAATGGGGTCATTTGGCTTGGGATCGTCAATTCAACTGTGGAATGTGCCTTGAGCCTACGCCAAGGCTTCAAATCAGCGATGCAAGAGGACAAGGGCGAGCAGAGAGAGAGAGAGAGAGAGAGAGAGAGAGAGAGAGCCAGAGAGAGAGAGATCCAGAGAGAGAGAGAGAGAGAGCCAGAGAGAGAGAGAGAGACAGAGACAGAGAGAGAGAGACAGAGACAGAGAGAGAGAGAGAGAGAGAAAGAGAGGGCGAGCTGCATTTGTTTATGTCCATTAACCCTGAGGAGGCGTCCAGCGCAAAGGAAAAGCTCAAACCGCTGAGCAAGCTGGACTGTGTAGTTGATGTGACTGAGCTTGCAGTGGCAAAACATTTTCAATCATACCATGATATACCATGGCAAACAAGCGCAGGTGTGAACATCCCCAACACCACTAAGTCACACCAACGTCGAATTTAGAAGTAGAAAGATTCTTCCGAACAAAACGCCCGACCACCTTTCCCGAGCGCGTGCAACTCAGTGGCCAGGTCCACTACAGCCAGACGTGCTTTGAGCAGCTTCATCAAGCGCTTGCTGCTGGCCAGAAGGTTTACGTGGACTCGGTGATGCTTGCGCCCCTGGTTCGGAAATCGGTGCTGGTGTCGGAGGGCTAAGTACAGCTGATCATAGTAATGTCACACTGTGTGTGTTAGTTGTTGTTATGTTTATTGTGATTTGCTGTCATCATCCTGTCATGTTCTGCTTGTCCGCACGAATGGTAGATATTATACATGCACTCATGTTGTGCTTGTGTGATGCAGCAGAATGTTTGCCTTTGAGTGAGCCGTAGCGGATGCTTTGTAGAATCCAAAAGTTGTAGTCCCATTTGCTTTTGTGATCTAACTTGCCGGCTGAAACTGTCTTGAAGAGCAGCGTTATCATTTTGGCGGCACATGTTTTGCAGCTGCTTTGGTGCCCAAATGCATCCTGGCCCATGCGTGCCTGGGGATTAGTTGCTTGACCTCAGGCACGGGGACGAGAGCATGGAGATGGCATTGGAGGTGGCGCCCGTGGTTTACTTGCTGCCGCCTGACCTCGTGGGCGAGTTCCGTCAAGACGTGCCTTGGTCTTTGGAGGACGCCCCGCAGGGAACGGCCGGGCGCTTGTTCCGGCGCTTCGAGGGGTGTCGCTTTCTGGTGGCCTTCCCTTGCAGCTCGCCTCTGGCGCAGATGAAGCCGCCCTTTGTGATCCTCGATGGCTTGAACTCGGCCAGCAATGTGGGGCAGGTACTGCGCACCGCGTATCATTGCCAGACTTAGCGAACCTTTGTAAGACGTTCTGTTTGGTTTCCCTTTTGAGGCAACCCAAAAAGCTGGCCTTGTGCGCGAGGTTTATCTTCCAATCATGAAAGTTGGGAGCTTTTTAGATGGGCAATGTTCCTTTTGGTTTTGGAAGCCCGTCCATGCCAGGATTGTTTTCAAAGTTGGTATTTTCCCTCCCACCCACCCACTAAGATTCAACCTGACTCGGTTTCCCTGGACGACCATTGTCCCTTCGAAAGAGGGTAAGTCTGGCGCAGGCGCACCCCCAATTTTGCTTTTGGTGTCCCTTTAAGCCAAGCCCAAAACGGGTTCCTTGAAAAAGACGAGCCCAGATATCACCTGGGCATCACTTCGGTGGTGGCGGCGCCGGGTGCATGGAGCTGCCTCAATGGCCGGGCCAGCCGCGTCTCCATGGGCTGGTTCTATCGAATGAGCCCCTCAGATCTTAGGACCAGGCTTCCCTACTTGGATGTTGACGTCACTTCGTCAGTATGTTACAGCCTTAGTTAGAACTGGGGGCCCTTCTAAGCATGACTTACCAGTAGCTTGATCATACAAGTATACAGGAGTCGGCTTCAAAATTACCGTCAAAGCTTTTTGTAGGAGTGTTTCACGCACATGTTACTTTGGTTTTTTCTCGACAAAAACGATACGGGACGTCCAAAAAACCATGCCCCCAAACCGGAGAGCAAAACCAGAAAACGATACGGGGCGTCCTAATGTCGGACTGAATATGCCCCAGAAGTAATTTTCACGCTGACTCAATATGGTTTGAATGTTTTTGAGGGTTCCCTTTCCAAATTTGGAGTGAGCTTCCGTTAAGCAAGGTGATGTTTAAGGGGGCAAAGGCAGGAGCCTGTTGAGCCAGGCCTGTTAATCCATGGTCGACATAGAAGTGGATTCTGCATGCGCTTAGCCAGTGGTTGGTTCTTGCTAGTTCAAGCGATGCAATTTATTGGGCAGACTGAACCAGGATCAAGACAGCCATGCCGAACTGTTTGCTGATCATTCCCGATTTCAGTTTGAAGCGTTGCGGCTAATCTTGACATCTCGTGAGGCTTCCATGCTGCTCGCCCTTTAGCAGCAGCCATTCAAGAGCTGAAGGAGTTGGGGGTTTGCATCTACGGGGCTGAGAACCAGTTCTCCGACCCAGTTGCTCCCCATGAACCTCTGGGCGACCACCGATGGGCGCTGGTGGTGGGCAGTGAGTTTAAGGGCGTCTCTCAGGAGATTTTGGAGATGTGCGACAAGAAAATCTGTGTCCCTCAGCAGCAGGGCCAATCACTGAATGTCGCGCATGCGTGCTCAATTTGCTTGTATGAACTATCCAAGCACAACGTCATGGAAAAAACGCACGTGATTGGACATGACAATTGATATTATCGATCTCGATGCCAAGAGAGGCATAGTAGTTCCATGAACGAAGGATATATAATATCTTATTCAAATAATAAAATATAAAAATATAATTGAAATTACATATAATTGATTTGTTTTTCCTCCGACTATTGCTTAAACGGCAATTTATAAAAAAAAAAAAAAAAAAACGATCGTAGTTAGAACAATTATGTTTAATTTTTTTATTTGTGATTTTTATAGTTTAATTATGGTTGGTATTTGTTTATAATGAAGAGATATTATAAAAAAGGTTATAATAGTTAAGGAATGGTAATATATGTAGTAAGCGTTATAGCATGTTGTGTTGTGTTGTTGTTGTTGTTTGTTGTTGATTTTTTTATAGAATGATATTATATTATTATGAATTATTGTTATTTGAATATATTATTTTTTGTATTATTTTATATTGGGTTTATATTATTTTATGATTTATAATTATATTATTTTATATTATATGTATATTATTTATTTATTATATTATTTTATTTTATGAATTTCTTATTTATTAATTTGGGTAATATATATTATTTTTTGGATATAATATTTTTAAACATGATATTATTATTATATATTTTTTGGAATATCGAAGGGTTTTGGGATTGTTATTTTTGGGTATGTTGTGTTGGCTGTTTAATATTTGTGTGTTGTTAAATGTTTTGGGTTATTTATATTGAAAATTTGTATGTTATATAGATCTTTGGAAGGATTTATATTTTTAATATTATTAGGATTGTTTTATTATATGGTATTTTATGGATATTAATGTGCTTTGATATTGTAATTTATGAATTAGGGGGATTGGATGGGGACCAAATATTATAATATTTTGAGGAATTATTGAAATAGAATATATTTTTATAATTATTTAATTAAATGGAGTAGTTATTATGAAATATTTTTTGTATTGGTGTGGTGATGATTATTTTTCGAATATCTAATTATTTAGGATTTTTCTAGTTTATTCTTATAAATTATATAATTATATTTTTATATATTTCTAATATTTTGATTATTAGGATATGAAAAATAGGAAAATGTTAAGAAGCTTTGTTGCACTTACAAATTATGTGGTCTCGGTTTTATAATCTTTCGGGAGATGGTGTAAAGAATAGATGTCGATAAAAGACCTAAGAAATCGAGATATGTTTTTTTCTTACCCTATATTCGAGATAGTTTTTCCTTTTATGCCCTATGTGATTTATGTAAAAAAATATGTGCCCCTTACCAGAAATTCAAGGCATCACAAAGGGGTCGTTATTTGTTCTCCTTCTACAGGGATGTTGGTTGTTTTCCTTCCAAGCATTAAGAGGCCCATACGACCTAGGCAAGAAGATGTTTTTGTCTGACCCCAAACTTGAGGTACCCTGTAACAGACGTTAGAGATCGCTGTTTGTAATCGTCTTTTTCCCCCAAATTCAAGGCACTCTGCAGCCGACGTCAGAGGGGCATTGTGAATTCTCCCTCAATACATTAAGAGCCCGATATGACCTAGGCAAAAGGATGTCTTGCTCCCGGCCTCAAATTCGAGGCACCCTGTAGCCGACATTAGAGGGACGTTATTTGCGTTCGCCGCGTTCTCCTTCCATGCGTTAAGAGCCCCACTTGACCTAGGCAAAAAATGAGTGTTTTTCTTTGTCCAAAATTCAAAGTAACCGACGTTAGAGCATCGTCATTTGTTCTGTTTCCACACGTTAAAAGCCCCATGTGACACTAGCCCCAATTTATTAATAGGGGACTATCTACCGGCGTCGGCGGATCGCAGAACGATTTTAATACTATAATATATATTAACACCACAAAATTGCTAATCTTATTTAAATTTATTAGGAAAAAATATACAAAACTAAATTTTATCAAAATATAGATTGATTTTTTAAAAAAAAAACATATTTTATATAAATAAAATCATTATAATAATATATTTAATTAATTATATATAATATGTATATATATAACAAAACAATAAAATTCATATTATAAAATTTAATTCATTAAATTAATAATATATAATTCATAATAATAATAATATATATATATATTAATTCTTATATTTAAAATTATTCGAATTCAATTTATATATTAATAAATTTTGATATTAATAGATATTAATACAAATTAATAATATATTAATGCTAAATAAATATAAATTCTAACAAAACTAATATCAAATAATTAAAACATTTTTTATTTTTAAATATAATAATATAAATTTATATTATATTTTATAAGTATGTATAAGGACAAATATTAGAATTATATAAATAAATAAAATATTATAAAATGAATAAGACATATTATATTTTATTATTTCAATTTATATATATATATAAATATATTTATATAATTATATATATTATAATATTCATTTCTTTATATATTAATATAATTATTATTTTTTATATAATATAAATTCATTATTCTAAAATCTAATCGAAATATTATAATCATTTTTATATTTCTATATTTACTAGTTTTATTAATATTTTTTATGTCTCATAATTGAAATTTATTAATTCATTACTATATATAGTTTGTTTTCAAAAAAATATAGATTTCTTCCTATTAAATTAAATATTATTTAATATAATAAATATATATCAAATTATATATAATAATTGTTCTAAATTATTTTTATCTCGAAATATCTTTTTTTTTTTTTTATAAATACAACATATATTTATATAAACCTTTCACGGATATATTGTTCTTCCCCTTTCCTTACTCAAATCAAAAAATCACAATTTTCAATTACTAATTAATTCCTCAATTCCAATTAAATAATAATATATAAGAAATGCCAAGTAGAAAAAACAACTTTATAAATTATATAATTCCAACTTAAAAAAAAACAATTTTCCAATACCAAACTAACACATAAACTAACACAACGCTCCAAAATATCTCCTTATAATCGAAACTTATATTTTCGCACGAGCTTTCATTTATTTTTCTATAATTATACTCTATAAATTAATAATGTAAAAATCCTTGTTTTTTCCCTCGTGTAAGTGGCCTTTGGCCCGGGGAAAGCCGCGCCAAACGCTACCCTCCGCCATCGATCGACCGGGCCCTCCCATCCAGCCGAGCACTTATCTGCCTAAGCCTTGAGTCCCGTTGGTCGCATGCATGTAAGCGCAGGCAAGGCAGAGCTGGCACGAATCTAGGCGGGACATGGAAATAGGACATGGAACTACGCATTGAATAGCACCGTTAAGAGGTCGTAACGTATCTTTGGAGCGGGCTAGGGATGCTGGGCATTTTCACTTGAACGACCGATATTTCTGATATTCCCAATATCACCAACCCCCACGAAAAGAAATTGTCGAGAATATAGGACCCTGAGCTCGATATCCCCAACATCCCCAGCCCACTCCATCGAGCAAGCCAAACCCCCTTCAAACGCCCCAAACATATTCGAAATGGACATAGGAAATGTCCCTTGGTATCCCAGCAACACCAACCCCCTCGAAAGGGAATTATCGAGAATGCAAGACCCGGAGCTCGATATCCCCAGCCTCCTAAAGCCACTCCATCAAGAATTGGTATGGCCGAAAAAAGGCCGAAAAAACCGCCCTCCGAAAAATCACCTCGCTCGCGAAAACTAAACGCAAGCCACGCCTCCGCAAGAAATTATTTCATAAACATAATATCCCGAGCATCACTAACCGACTCGAAAGACAACTCTTAAAAATATAAAATCCGAGCCAATATCCCCAATTCACTCCATCCAACAATCCAAATCCCCCATTGATGTAAGCAATAGGAGCCTCTCCGTCCATATCCCCCTACCTATTTCATTCGCTAAAATTTTAACCCTAACAAAACAAAACTATCAAATCGTGGAATTTAACGTCCCCAACATATCCCTTTAAACAAAATGTGCCCAACATATCCAAATCAAATAAATAATTAAGAATATAAAACAAATTTAATTTAATAACCTAAATTCTTAATAATTTCCTATTTATATAACCCAAAAATGGTCCTTCCCACCCATATCCCCCCTAATATTCATTTCGTTCGCCAAAATTAAATTCAACCTAAAGCTCCCCAAAAAACTAACATTCAAATCAATTAAAATATTTTAAATTTTATATTAAATACAATTATAATTTATAAATTTAATTAATTCAACAATTAAATATATAATTCTCTTATATTTTTTCCCATAACAATAATAACCAACACCAATAATCTTCGAATACAATTCCTTACAAAAAGCCTTAAAACAATTCCCATATATTTTAAACTATATTCTATATAATTAAATCAACCAATTTCATATAAATTAAATAACCAAAATAATAATATAGATTTTGCACGACAATAAGTACATAAGCCATATATTAATCAAAACTAATTTTCACAACCGCCACAGAATCAATGTCAGAAGCAATATCATAGCCTTGGATGGGAAGGTTGCACTCTTGTGAAACAAAAATGGTTCTGGATTGATTGGGCATGAAGTCACATACGCCTCTGATTGGGACTTAGCTCACAACCACCATGACAATCAGTGTCACATTCTGGCCAGAAGATGCAGTGTCCTGAGCAAATCCGAACAGGTACTGTCAGACGACAAAATCTCAATCTAACTGTTCGCTCTGACTTTGCAGTCCTGCTTTGCCATAGCCCTCTCAATTTCGCTCTTCGACATACCGAGGGCCTGTCTTGCACAGGACACTTGGCACCCAAAGTTGTCTGACCAGCCTCCATGGCAGTGGAGACCTCCTGCAATGCGAACAAAAACTGAAGCTCTGAAACACGCAAAGCCTTTGAGTAACGTAGATCAACGGAGCACGCAAGGTAGGCTCAAACATATTTGGAGATGGATATCTATCTTGGCCTTGCATCGCCCGAAGGCTGTTTTTTCTCTGCCCGAGCTTCATGATGGACCGTGCAAAAGCCGTTCCTGCCTCCAACTCCTGCTTCTGAAACTCATTGATGTTCTCGGCTATATGTCTGCTTATGCACCTTGC